AGATCTTTACTTAGCAGTCCACAATAGATAATCCAATTTTTAGGGAGTTATTTTGGCACACACAATGGGATATTGGGAACCCTTTTACCCAGAAGCGGTCTCAGAATTACTACATATTGCGCAACAATTAGTAATTTATTTGCTATGGGATGCCTAAACCACCTTTTCCCCAAAAGTTATAAGGCTTTTTCTCCCACCCACCCTCTCTTACTTTTGTGCCCCTCAGTCTTGTTTTAACTCGCTCATGCCGCGTCGGTTCCGGGAGGAACCTGGCAAGGGGGAGGTAATGTAGGATACAGCGAGTATGTACGAGCTTATCTGAAGACGTGCGCATAAGAAGTGCAGCACTCAAAGATATATAGCAAGTACCGAGCACATGTCCTATTCGAAGAGTCAAGAAGGATCCGCGAAGCAATTAGGATCACATGTCCAAAGACGAGCATGAGCAAGTCAAGGATGATCCAAGCAGTGCCAAAGGATCACATTTTCAAACCTTCCATTTTTCAACTTTTGCCTACATAGCATGCCAACCTAAAGGGCAATCGAGAGACCATTGTCAACAAGTATGAACAGTGTTGGGGAACGCATCTACTTACATACAACAATGCAAACATGGCAGCTATCCTATGAAAAATCCTAGCAGACATAGGCAATCTCCTGGGTACAAGACACAATCTTTGGAACAGCCCTCTGACCAAGAGCATCCTATCATTTGGCAGCTTTGAGCGCCACCATGACCTGGGCAAGTCATTAAAACTACACCACTATGGCAGCTTTGAGCGCCACCAAATGTATGACATCATCACGGATCACGGATCAACCAAGATCATGATCGATCAGGAAGTCTATCATGACTCGATCGACGGATCAAACATAATCACGATCGATCAAAATATGTCATACCTTCAAACACGTGTCTAGGCGCCCATAGAATCTTATCTTATCGATGTCAAAAAACATATACTGGTCGAGATTCGAACTTAGTACTTCACCGTTCAAGTGGCTTAGGGGTTAAGCCATGATGTTTAAGTCTCCCAGAGATCACCGGACACACGCTCAGGTCCCGCTCGACCCCCAACGAGCACAGGGTCGAATCTCAGTGGAGGCAAACAATATCATGACATAATTTCTGACTCGACAGCCATAACACAGAAGCACGAGATCTTGACCGAAGACCGAGGATAAGGAGATTGCATCCGCAATCAAAAACTATGTTTTTGCGTCTATAACCCTTACTTTTTAAATGCAACGATCAAGTCAAATGCATCACCACCAACGACCTTGGCACGTCGTTAAACTGTTCAAATTTTGGCAGCTTTGAGCACCACAAATGACCAAGCGCATGTCTTTAAACTGCAAGCCCTTTTGCACACTATCTTGGGCAACAGCAGCCAATAGCGCTGTCTGTGACATCAGACATCTAGGACCAAGAACTGTTAGCCCCACAAGTGCACCATTTACCTGAGCAAGTCATTAAACTGCATCACCCCTTTTTGCTGCTAGCAAAAAGTCCTAAAATGCCATCTACACACCCTGCCATTTCACCCTGGAAGTCAGAACCTGAAGCGAGGGTACTATTTACCTTAGCATTTATTCAGTTCATCCGGAGTCTGAACCTTGAAGTGAGGGTAGTGTCACAATATTAAGTGGCACCTTTCTTTTTGCACCAATAAAGTCATCATTCAGCAACCACAAGCGGTTATTGGGACGCCAACCTTCATGTTGGTCTCACAAAGTGGATACTTAGACAAACAGCACAATACCACCACATACATCGCGGATATGACTGTGTCTACCATATGACCACCAAGCGCCCATGATCCAGCCACCCAGTCACGTGACACTGGCCACTTGCCCTATTCAGAAGTTATCAGGCGTTGGTCACGTGACATCAGGCCACTTGCCCAGAATGGAACTCTTTGGCCCACAATAGGCTTAGCTGTGCTCATTGGACCATCAAGCTAGCAAGCACCCAATTCGCTGCTCAATAGCAGCACCAACTACATGGCTGCCAAATAGTAGCACCAGCATTAGAATATGCGCTATGGCAAAACCCCCATTGGCCACTCAATAAGTGGCACCACTTCAGCTACTCAAATAGTGGCACCACCTTCAGGCAATTATCTCATTGGGTAAAGTAGGATTACCTTGGCGTATCCACGGCCTTTATAGATAGTTGCTATAGCAAAGTCCAGAACCATTACTGGTTTTGGCAATATGTTCACATGTAGAAAGGACAGGACCCCAGTAGGTACACCTTAGTTAGAGTGACCAGGGTCCACCCCTACATGTATATAAGCCCATGAGGATCTAAGGGAAGACCTTAGATTCATTATTCTATTGCATGCGGCCTAACAAGCCAATTCACCCCCTAGTTGTGAGCATAAGGCTAAGGGCCCTTTGAGCCCCTTTTTCAGACTGCATACCACTGCACGCATCCTCAGCCTAGCCCTTGTGGCAGGCTTTTTATGTGAGATCATTTGTGCAGGTCACAAAAGCAGACTTGCCCTTAATTGGGTTAAGTGCTTTGGTGCTTTGTGACAGTCATTCGTAATTACACCTTCATCTGCTACTGGGTATTTTTATACATGTGATGGTTTGGAATTCAAAAATGTATGATTACATTCAATAGCACTCAAATTCTAAATGTATTTGGTGAGTTTGAAAATGGTGTCATTTCTTAAAATATATGATTTAAATTTCTGCCTCCAACATATTATGTGCAAATACTTGATACGGAATGTGGGAAGGAACCATAGCAAATTGAGATCACAAAGGCAAAAAACCTGTTGACATTTGCTAAGCATTTGCCACGTGTGCAAATCGCTTCATGTCTGCGGTGTCACGCTGCGTCCGACGCTATCAATGATAGTGCCGCATGCATAGTCTAGTATCAGCCAGACCAGGACGCTGCTCGCCATATATATGGCGGCGAGTGATGCAGCTCCGTTTCATATCCACCACCAACCGTCAGCGGAACGCCCTGCCCTGCGCGTAGCGTTCTGCCCACATCATGGCGAAGGACACCACCAATGTCGACATCGAGAGCGTGCAAGACAACCTCATTGCGCCCATTGACCTGCCAGCAGAAACTTCAAATGATCCGTCTGACCAGCGGCTGCATGACCTTGGGTACAAGAGCGAGTTCCGGCGCGACATGTCTCTTTTCGGTGTTCTCGGTATATCGTTTTGTGCTATAGGCATCTTGACAGGCATGAGCAGCGCCTTCCAGACGGGTTTGTTCTCTGGTGGCCCTCTAGGTCTCTTCTGGGGATGGAATGTATGCGCGTATTCTTCCTGACGTCAGTGAGACGGGCTGAAATACAGATGTAGATTTGCAGCTTGTTTATGCTGCTGATTGCTCTTTCTCTCGCGGAGATATGTAGTGCATAGTAGGTCGCATGACTCGTGCCAGGTTGTGCTGCCGATCTTATATGCAGTCCCACGATGGGTGGATTGTATTTCTGGGTATGCAAGATGAAACCTGATATACCAATGCTCGGCTGTGAGTGAGGCTCATCTTCGAAACCGCAATCTGCTGATGATAAAAACTCTGTTACAGTCTGCGTAAGCCCTACTTGGTTTAGTGCCGACTATGTGACGCTGACTGTGACCTAGACGGGTTGGATCTACAGCATCGCTATGGTGTTCACCGGGACGTCTGGCAATCTGAGGTGGGTAGATTCCGCCAAGGATCGCGTGATTCTCACAGCCTGTCAGTGTTGCTCTATACCTCGCCTCTTTGGCTGAGGTAGGCCAAGGCCGTACCCTCACACGAGTCGAGATTGCTGCGATCGCATGGGGAGTGAACATCGCATCTGGCATCATCAATACGGTGGGCACTCGCGCCATTGGCGCGATGAGCACATTCAACCTCTGGTGGACCCTGGGCGGGACTTTCGTGCTTGTGATCACACTGCTTGTGAAGGCCCCAGTAAAGGTGTGACATGTTTGTGAAAGTGGTTACTATAACTCTTACGGCGACCGAAATAGAATCCGGCAGAGTTCGTCTTTACAGATTACGAGAAGTTCGTTTCCACAAGCGCATATGAAGGCTCATGTGATACTGATTTGATGCGTACAGTTTCACAGGCTGGAGCAACAAGGGCTTTGTGGTACTCCTTGGCTTCCTACAGGTGCGCGAAGATAATCTGAATTACCACTTCATACAACTCAACCGACATCCTATAGGCCGTCTACACCTTAGAAGGATGTGAAACTGCTGCACAAGTCGCCGAAGAAGCCAAGCGCGCAGAGATATTGGCACCCATCGCCGTAGTCGGCTCCATCGTCGGCTCTTGGCTGATAGGCCTCGCATACATGCTCGCACTGCTCTTCTCCGTCCAGAGCATCGAGCGCATCGATGAGACCTCCTATGCGATGCCCATCGCGCAGCTATACTACGACGCAGCCGGCCCAAGGCTCACTCTCATGTGTCTCACCGTCGTCGCGTTGGCACAGTTCATGGCTGCTGTGACGGCATTCACGGCGAGCTCGAGGCTGTTCTACGCACTGAGCAGAGACAATGCATTTCCTTTCAAGACGCGGTTCATGAGCCTGAACAGGTGGCAGGCGCCGCACTGGGGCGTTTGGCTGTCCGTGTTGACAGGATGCATCATCTCGTGCGCCTATATTGGGTCGACGATTGCAGTGCGTGCAGCTTTTTGAAATGGCTTTGATGCGAAAATGTGATTGATATGCTACTGTTGTAGTTCAATGCCATTCTGTCTTCAGCTGCTATCGCTGTAATGCTGAGCTATCTGCAACCGATACTGATTCGTGTCTTCTGGCCATCCTCGTGAGTCGATAACTCCCATTTAATAGGAGGTGCGACGTACTTATTGTGTAATGTCCACTACAGGACTCCGCTTGAACGAGGACCGTTCGACTTGGGCCGTTACTCCTGGCCAATCAACGTTGCAAGCTTCCTAGTAAGTGACTCTGGTGCATCGCTTCCCTGCACGCAGCTTATTCCCTCCTGCAGTTCTCCGTGTTCATCTGCGTGCTGTTCATCCTGCCTACGGCTCATCCGGTGAATTCGCAGAACATGAACTATGCCATCGTTGCCATCGGTGGGGTTTGCGTCATTGTCATGATTTGCTGGACGAGCTGGGGCCGCAAGCATTTCTTCGGTCCCATGCAGACCCGTTCGTTGAATGTGTCTGGAGATGAGACAAGTATTAAGGATGAATAGAGCTGATACGGCACCCGTTCTGGAGTCGTATTGCTGAATTGATCGAGATTCAACATTCGTCGTCATCTATTGGCGATCGTGTGCATCGTCTGAGCACATGTTTTGCAAGCGCTTATGGTGCACGAGTCTCAGCAAGCCCCAACGTTCAAACGTTCACCTCGAATGGCTCTCAGGTGGTTTGTGGCCCATTTTTCTGCTCTCTTTGCAAAGTCACGTCGCGCCTCAAAGCGGCATACCTTGACGATCGATACTTACCTTCTGTAATTTCCTAGAGTCCTTGAATAAGATTTGTCAGATGATACCGTGTTCCGGACGGTGTTTCCTTCGTCACGAGATAGCGGGCCTTTTAGGCTGAGCCTATCGTTTGCTCGCGATAAGTCTCGAAGCATGGAGAGCTCAGCATTCTGAGATGAAGTATCCGTAGCGTATCGCTAGCGGTATAAAAGTCTTCACCAAAGCTATCTACCCACTTGCACTATCTGACGGTTTGAGATGCCGAGCGTCGACTCACCTCCAGCTCCTCGCCATGCTCGTCCTCCCCCAACCAAAGAGCCCCGTGTGTTGCCGTGATTCTCTTTTATTGGCCGCAGGAGCTGATTGGATGCGAATGACGATAAATCTGCAGTTGACTATGCAGACCTATCCATCATCGATTTTTCCCACATTCGCCACTCTGAGGGTCGCATGAAGCTTGCTCTCCAAGTCCGTGAGGCAATGACTACGCAAGGGTTCTTCTATGTGGTCAATCATGGGTATACGCAAAGACAGGTGAACGTCTCTCCAAGTATTAACGCATAAACCGATTTGTTCACGTGCGTGTTCATATAGAATGAGCGTATATTTGACATCGCGGACATCCCGTTCGCTACCATGACAGATCAAGAGAAAACTTTGTTTGCTTCGGATATTAAAGGCGCAGGTTCATATCAAGGATATAAGCGGCGAGAATATTTGGTGCGGTGATCACTCAAGCGCCTTTGCAATTAATTTGATTTAATGTGACTGATAAAGCATGTCGATGCCGGTGTCCGAGATCAGGTCGAACATTACAACAGTACGTCGCTGCATAGAGCTCGACAGAACCAGATCGAGAATCATACTATATCCTCAGTCAATCATGACGTAACGCGGAAGGAACATCCTGCAGCACTGCGCCCTCTTCTACCAGAGATTGAAGCGTTCATGCAATTCAACCATTTTCATTTACTTCACAATATACTCTGGTGCGATCGATTGACGCTTCCGGGATGGCGTTCTCATAGTTTCGGCAGTCTTTTCGCCATAGGGTTGGAACTCCCAGAGGACACGTTGGTGAAGACCCACGATTGGTCCGCTCTGGAGGAGACGTATGGTAAGTCAGGAGAGTGTATCGTGGAGCCTCCAGCTCATTGCGTGTGGAACAGTTCGCTTCACGAAATAGTGCGTATAGTTCTCGTTATGCGTGCTAAAAACTCACCATGGCACAGCCGTCCCCGCTCTGAGGACGACGAGATAAAGACTAAGAATGTCTGGCTCAAGGGGCACACAGGCACTGTATACTCCCATTATCACCCGAGTAAATTCGTCGAACGACTGTCCAGATCTCGGAAGCATCACAATATTGTGGAGCCAGCCAGTTGCAGCACTGCAGATTCTCTCCCCGGACAGGAAGTGGCGGTGGATCAAACACATTGACAACGCACTGGCACGTCCCTCTGACATAGTTTATGTGCACGAGATAATACTCAACTCATGCTCAGGTCGTGAACGCCGGCGATGCCATGGAGTTCCTCTCGGGTGGATTCTACAAACCGACCATCCATCGCGTCGTGCAGCCTCCTGAGGACCAACGCGGCCGAACGCGTCTTGCGGTTATCTACTTCTGCATGCCGAACGATGACATAAAGCTTGTTCCGCATGCGGAGAGCCCGGCAGGGTCATGGCGTATGGCCTGACGGAGAGGACGAAGAGAGAGGATGGTGTTGAACAGGAGCTCGTCAACGGGCTCGCGGTGAACTATTATAGCTGAGCAAAGCACCTGGGCCCATGTACCACTCGCTGCCGGCGAGGCTTTTGTGCCACGAATGTCGAAATTGCCCGTGCTTGATCGGTGGTCGAGTGTTGCCTGTAGAACTGGACAGGGTTCGGCATCCACATCATGAGTCAACTACAGCAGACCGATGTCCCTTTCTTGTCTTTCCGTTTATCGTTTCCGTCTCATAAGTCATAGGCCACTCGCGTTGCCAGATGAAAATGCAATTGTAGTGACATGTATAAGTCCGAAGTTGTTGTCCATATGCATGAGCTACAAGTCTGAATCAAAAATGTCGGAAGACAATCAAGCTACATGTCACACCAGACGTAACGGTCCTGTTGGCTGTTGGAGGGGTAGGCTCTATGTGTGTGAACAGTAAAGTTGTAACCTCACAGGTCACCGGTCCAATACACATCCTGCCGTGGTTGATACGCAGGCGGCAACGTCTGACCACTGCCCGATCTGCCATGATTACTATCTGTGGAGGTTGTAGCAATACCCTCAACCTGCGATTGCCATGCATACGGGTCTTGATCCAAAAATCCGGCCGAGGACACCATTGGATTAGGAGATGGTGAGCTGGGGTAGTGAGGCAGCGGAGTCTCTATCGACCGGCGGGTCTCCGTGCGCGATAGAGACGCACGCGGAACCCCAGGCCAGCTCCGCCTCAGCAGGTCCATAGTGGAGATGCTGCGGCGGGTATTGAGAGATGGTGAAGGTGAACGACGGGGGTCAACTGCTATTGCAGATTCGGCCGGATATGCGAACTGGACTTCATCGCAATAGGTCTGAGATGACGAGGATGTCCCTGGCTCGAGCCCTAGAGAACCAGTCCATCCCAGTTTTCCTATCCAACTAACTCTTCGAGGAGGATTGTTTAGAGCAGCATCCTCTACAGTGGGTTTCGAAACTGCAGGGCGGAGATCAAAGTGTCATGAGGTGGCCAGTGAATTGATATAAGAGCGATGCTAACCGAAAGGTGTGATCTGCGGGGCTTTCCGAGGTTTCCTGCTGCGCAACCACAGGATTATGGCTACCACCGCAACAAGCGAAGTTACAGATAGGACTACAGCCAGCGCTACGATTTTACCGGCTGTGCCAGATTTGGATGTGGAAGTTGTGCCGGTATGAGTGACAGCACTAGGAGTTGCGGTTGACACCGAGGTTGTGACAGCAGTGGATGTTGCCGTGGATGTTGCCGTGGATATGGCGGAAGTGATAGACGTGGTGGTGTATGGAGCTGCAGTACTCTTCGCATACGTGCTCGTGACAGTGATCAAATGGACCACGTTGTCGCCGGTGACGTTCTTCAGCGTACGCGTACTGATTTCAGTCACAGTAACAGTCGTCGACGAGCTCCAGCTAGCATATTGCACAGAAGATGACTTCGCATGACTCAAGCTCATGCTTGTTGTTATTGGCGACACGCCTCTGGTAGATGAGCATGTAGCACTTGAAAACACGCTGGGTCGAAAGGAAGAAGGCGACGTGTAGGTCGAAAGAGGCAAAATTGACGAATATGTTAATGATATAGATGCTGGCAGATGTGTTATAGATTCCGATGACAGGGATGGCGAGGAGGAAGAGGTGGCTGAAACCAAGGTTTGCGTTGACATTCTGTCAATGCCAGTTCTGGAAGTTAACTCGGCGGTGGAGCTGCACTCTTCGATGGTTGTGGCGAAAGTCAGTGATAAAGAGTCACATAGAGAAAATGGAGTGGAGTCCATAGTGGAATACCTAAAGGAGCGGAAGGAGGTGTCCTACTGAACGAAACACGTTATATATGCAGGGACTTTCAATGGGAGCAGGCGCGCATACCAGAATGACTGTGGGAGGAGTCGAGAAAGAAGGAGGAAGGAAATGAAAGTAGGACACGTACTTGAGCGGACTGCATCTAAGAGATCCGAAGTCCCCGAGCTGGTATCTATGCGAGTTGAATTACGAGGAATACAATGCAGACCATCAGACGCTTCTGTTCGACAGATGAACACAACAGGATCTTTTGATGACGAATATAATGCCGGAGTTACATACATCCAAAGCCTTGACATACACATGAAGTGTGAATTCTGACGAGGGTTGCTGTACGGTAACTTGTGTATCTTGAACACGGAACATTTGATATGCACGATGGTGGTGCTTAGGCTACATCACATGCTAGAGAATCGGTTTTCTAACATCTGATGGTTGTCGTACCTTGGTGTTTCATCAGCCCTGAAACTTTGCACATATGATAGATGGCTGAGAGAGTTGACCATGTAAGATTCGAGAACAGCGGATGGTGAAAGCCTGAGAAAAGGGTTGAATGGTACAAAACAGAAGTGGGCGGCGTCTCGACCTCGAATCGAAGTCCTAGTTCCAAGACAACCCACTGAAGGCGGTGCAGCATATGAAAAGGTAAACAGCCTGAAACCATATCGGATCCTCCATAAAGAGAATAGATACAGTGTGCTATATGAAAGGCACCGACGCGTCGGTGCCACCCATTGCTTGAACAGCGAGGACAGAGAATCAAAGGCAACGGCCGCGGATGAGGTGAAATTGATGATAGGAAAGATGGGAGAAGAAAGGTGATCGCAGCAGAAAGAGACGCACTTTGAGCCGGAAAAAGGCTTCGAGCCATGTGTGAAGCGTTCTTGAGGTGCTGCCGCGGGAGCTCAGATGCGAAGAAGTTCTTGCTGTAGTCAGTATCAAGATGGAGAAGCACTAGATAAGAGATGGCCCAAGCCAAGTGAGCCGCTGCCTTCGACTCTGCATCGACATCTCGTGTGTTCAAGTTTGACTTGCCACTGGCGTCCTGTCAAATCCACGAACGACCACGGAACACGTCATTTTTTGACGAAGCGAGCTCTGAAGTGCACGCTCCTCTTCCATGATAGTATAACTGGATGTGAGATCCATTCGTTCAGACCGTCTCTTTGCGGACCGCCTACTAGTTTTATCGCAAAATGAATCCTGAGGCATTGATCTGGTAGACGTATCCGACCCTCATCTTGGTCTGGAAAAGCTCCTTCAGCTCAAAACAGAGCAACAGACGTATCATAACGGGGAAGCCGAAGTCGAAGATATGAATAAGTTATGTGAAAATACCATCGCTATTCATCAGATGCGGGGTTTCGACAATAGGATCTCAATAGAGAGGAAGACCGGTATATGCTTGTCCCGGTCCAGCTGCATGTCACCGTATTTGGATCGTTGGTCCAAGGCTGAGGCTAGTATGCAAAGGGCAACGTCTTGCCACTGCTCGATCTGCCATTCGGATTTCGTCCGCGCAGGTGCCCGAGATGCCGCAGATTTGTGTCTCGCACGTGTTTATTGTTGGAAGTGGCCGCCCGACGGCACTTCTGGTGAAACGTGCTCAACGCGTCGGGAGGGACAAGCGCCAAGCGACGGCTGAAACGCGTCGCAGGGCGGTACCTGGAAACAGAGCGGGCGAGTACGGAAGGGCAGAAAACGTATAAGTACGCACCTGTACTACTGTATTCCCCAGTCGTTTGTGGCCTCACCAGCCTCTCACTCCC